AATATATACATACATCGTCATTCTGTTATACCATATTCTTTTTCTCAGGCATATTGAATAATACTGTTCTCAATTTTGTTTCCAATCAAATTACCGGTGAATTTATTCACCGGTGAAAATATTCACCAGTGAATAAATTCACCGATGCGAATTTTGACGGCTTCCCTAAGTTTCGTGAGTGTAAACTAAAAAGATAGTAAATTGAAAATATTCAACCTCTTGTACGTACTATTTTTCCAAAATCACTAATGCCTGTTGTAGATGTCATACTTGCTGCCGCAAAAACAGCTATTTTGTCATCTTCTATTTTATTTAAACTTAAATCTAATTTACGAGATTGAAGTGGTTGTAATTCTGTTTCATCTGGACTAATTAAATTTCCATGTTTATCTGTTGGAAGTCGGTGAGGATCCATGTAAAAACTTTCAATCATTGTATTCAATTCTATTTGTATTTGACTAGGTAATTGTTCTTTTATTATATTTTTGTTAAATGTTATTTTTATTATAACATTATTTGCTAAACAATAGTAATGGATAATCAAAAAAATTTATTAGAGTTATTCTATTTTATGCTTACTTCTTACTTGTTTGATAAAATAACTGTAATAATGATTGAACATAACTCCCGTACTGATACTGTCTGCATTTAACAATAATGGAGATATATCTGTCTAAAAATTAAAAATTATTGTTTTTTTACAATAACTTCTTTCCCTCTCTACCCCTAATAATAAAATACTACCATAGTGTTCTCTTTTGGTCAGCAACTCTAGTCGATGCTTAGCTAACAACTGTGAAGGAGACCACAGAAAAACATAGTCCGGAGTGATCTTCTATTATAGGGGGTTGAGAGTTATAGGATGGAAAATATACTTTAACCTACATAATGTTCCATACTAAATGCTTGCGGCGGTTCACCTATAAACAATAAAATGAGTTTCGAAAAAATATTTTCAGTTAAGTAAACGTGAGTTTAACGCACCATTTAAGTAATTTTTCAATCTTTCCCATACTGAAATGTCTTTCGAAAACATGTTTAATTGAAAACTATTTCCAGCATAATATGTTTTGAACAATGTATAATTGGGTTTACTAACTTCATCGAGACAAACAAACACCATATTGTGTACATCATCCTAAAAGAAAGAAGAAAACAAAAACTCAGAATAAGATTACACTTTTTTATATTTTCATAAAATGTGTTTACAATTATTTTTTTATATTCAAAATATTCATTATATCTTTTTGTGGCTGGTATTTGTGAATCACACATTATTTGTATGGTCCATTTACATTTTTGCATTTGTGCATGGATCTCGCCCATTACATTGTTTGACGATTCAAAACCTGAAAACATAATAGTACAAAAATTAAACCTTTTTGTTTATCTGCCTTACTAGATCAGATAACAAAACATTCATCTGTATATGCGACGTACACTGAATAGACTTTTAGAAGCGAATTGGTTCCAAACTATTTTTCATCATGTTACGTGAATCCAACTCGAATCGATTAGGATGGAGTATCGATTCATTTCAATCTCTGACATATTCAACTGAAGAACTTTTTTACTTACTTTGTCCAAGTTGTACTTCTCCAGCACCAAATTCTTCTTCTAAATCTTTGTGAAATTGTCTAAAAGGAATCGAAACATTCAACTATTTTCAAAATTCTTATCCAATAAATATGTACTCGCAATGTGCTTTAATTTCTTTTCCACATACAGTTGCATTGTTATCGATAACAAAATCGATTAAAAATAAACGAACTGTTTTACCAGGAATAACAGACATTTTTGGTTTTAAATCCATTGTGTTGGACATCATTTATCTTATGTTTTCACTGTAATAAATAAAATATAAATCGTAAGATGTTTCCATTTTTATAATTCTTACCATATTACCTTTTAATTTAGTAGAATTATGTATGTACTTGGCGAAGATATCGAAGTCACACTGTTGTTTGATTATCCTTAAGAGTTTTCTTTTAATATCGTAGACTCTTAAATAGCTGCCGGAAAGGACATTTTATAATGAGTTACCAACATATAATTCGTCTATTCTTTTGCCAGAGGGATTGTTGTCAGTTCTTATGATTAACTTCCTCATTTTATGATTCATTTAGGGGAGAAACCAACATAGAAAAAAAATACCTTGGAGAACGTGCATTTTCTGTCGATAAAGGTAATAAAAATAAAATACAAATAAATAACAAATTTTAATGGAAGTGAGATAATAGACGGAGAAAGAAAAATAGAAACTACTGCATCTGTGCTCTTTCTACTACATAATCTCATAACTGTTGTGTACAGAACCAAATGCGATCGTTAGAACATTCGAGGCTATTGTTTCATTCATCTGAGTTTACTTTCAATTTTCCTATAATCAGATGGTGACCTCATAATCATGTTGCAATTCTCACACAGAATCGCTTTTTTTTCCATATCTTTATTACTCGATAGAATAGCCACATTGTTACTGATCAGATACAGAGCTTCTTTCTTTCTCTTTTCATTTCAAAATTCTTCTGAATTTTAAGTTTTCTAATAGTGTCTCTTAAACTTGACTTTCTCGAAATGTTTTCGTTACACTGAACAGTACCCCATTTGGCACCTTTTGTCAG